CGGGCCAGTTCTTCCCGCGAGCATCGCTGTCGCACAGCTCGTCCAGCAGGAGGCAGTCGAGAGCCAACCTGCCACGCCACGCCGCGCTCGTCAGCAAGAAGTCAGACCCTTACCAGAGTAGCGCCAGCATGGCAGCAAGGGCCGCCAGCGAGGCGCTGTCCGTCAAGAAGTCCGCCGAGATCGCCGCGCTCTTCACGGGCGTCAAGATGAGTCAGACGACGGACATCGTGGCGACGGCGCGCAGCACCGACGTGACAGACAGCAGGGACAGCAGCACCACGGCAGGGGACGGCGAGGAGCTCCTGTACAGCTCGCTGGACGGCCACACCAGGGGCCACGGCCTCAGTCAGCGGCCCGCGGGCGCGGGGCCTCGCCAAGGAATGTACCTTAGCCACACAGTCGGCAGCAGCCTAGAGAACAGCCTCGGGTACTTGCCCTGACCGTGGGGACCACGGGGCTGCCAAACAAAACTCAGAGAACTCACAAGGATGCAAATCTCAATTTATTGGGTCGTTGTAAAAATGTTCCGCAGGAACAAATTTAAAACCACGATCTAAAGTAGAAAGACAGGCAGATCTGTGAATTTCACTCTGTTTTGGTAAAAACCTATGAGCAAAATTGTTCAAGAGAATGTATTGACTAGTGATTTAATTTATAAAGTTATGTATTTAAAGACAGTATCTTAAGAGCAGAATTTATACTCTAATTTATTATGTAGTCTCTTTACTGTGATGGGTATGACTGACAAAACTGTTATTAAAAAACACAAGTGCAAATGATTTTTCAATTTTAAAAAAAAAAGTGAGCAAGAGGAGGGATGTGAATGTGTTCATTGCCATTGTCAAAATGTAGTTGGACAGATAGTGAAGTCATTCAGTAGTAAAAGTGTAACGCCTCCTAATGAAGTACTTCCTTATAATTGATATTTAATAACAAGAAACTGCAGAGGTTTATACACTTACCGAAACAGATGGCTAGGAGAGTAAATTATAAATGTATCAAAAAATTAATATAATAGGATAAATTTGTTGAAAGAACATGTATGGGCTGTTCCTTTCCTTCAGTGGTAAACAGAGGTATCAAAATGAGAATTAAAATAAGAATGTGGCTTTACATTAAAAAGCTTTGATATTTCAATTTGTTTCATTTTTCTTCGTTCTAAATTTCATTTTCTTTCCAGGGGGTTTACCCTTAGTTGACTGTTTTCCGTTATTTGACTGCTTTCCATTAGTTGACTGCTTCCAGTTCTTTGCCTTAGATGACAGTTTTCCACCCTTTGAGTAATTTGACTTATTGCTTTCAGACATTTTCCTCTTTTTTGTATCAGCTCCTTCATCATTCTCAGCCTTCCGTTTCTTTGCTTTGCTTGGTTTGGCAGGGAGAGGTGGTAGACCTTTCTTTTTTCGCTTGCCATTTTCTATTTTAGTACTGAAAACAAAAATGATTGCATTAAAATGTAGAAAGAATAGCAAGAAATCTAAGGAAAACAGAATGTTGATGACTTACTGCAGCCACTCTTGTTTCTGCTTTTCCACCTTTGGAACAGTGGATATACTAGCTCTTTCTGGTGCATATTTCTCTCGTTCACGTTTTGTCTTCTTAGACACCTTCTTCAACTCAAGCATATACTGAGGCACATCACAGCCAGAGTCTTTCATAACAGTTGCAATACTGTAAAATGGCAAAATCAGTAGAAAAAATATATTTTAGAACAAATGAAGGATTGCACAACACGGTAATGAAAACAAAGGAGCAGCCCAAAAAACACTCACCTCCTCAAAATGGGCGAATCACTTGAAGTGAAAAATGTTACCGCTTTTCCTTCACGACCAGCACGACCAGTTCTCCCTGAGGATTAAAAAATCAGTCTCAATTAAAAATACATACTTAAAAAAATGCTATGCCAGGATATAATTTTCAGATTTTAATGGAAAAATAGATCACCTATTCTGTGGATGTAAGATACAGCAGATGGTGGAAAGTCATAGTTCACTACCAAGTTAACACCTTTGAAATCAATACCTCTGCCCATCAGCTCAGTACATATAAGTACCCAGATTTTCCCTTCTCTAAAGCTTTTAACAACATTATCCCTCTGCAAATACAGAATAGAAGTCGTTTAAAAATTAGAGCTCACATGCACATTTAAAATATGAAAAAGAACAGTAAAGATAAAACATTGAAAAAACTTTTTTTACCTGCAGTTGAGTTCTGTCTGCATGAATTACATCAACATTTATTCCATCATACAATAGCTCAGAGAATAATTCTTTTGCTCTCTCTTTTGATTGAACAAAAATAAGGACAGGTGGTTGCAATCCCTAAGGTGAGTAAATCAAGATAATATTTCAAACAAAAAAATTAATTAAATTTAAAAACACAAATATCATAAACAGTCTTTGGTACCTTGCTTATCAGTTCTCTCATGGCTATAAGTTTTCCTTGCTCACTGCCAACAAACACTAGTTCTTGTTGTACTTTATCAGCAGTTGTATTTCTACACAAAATCAGGGGAAAAATTTAAAGGTTGTTCAAATTCCAGCAAATCAAATGATCATTGAAAGAGAAACTGACTCACCTATGGCCGACAGTTACAGCAATTAAACCCGCAAGATTCTGCTTACACCACTTAGCTACATGAGCACCATGTGTTGCACTAAACATGCCTCTCTTGATATTTTGGGAATCACAAGCTTGATAAATAGCTGCTAGCTGGTCTCGAAAACCCCTGGGACCAGCTTCAAAGAGCTTATCTGATTCATCTACAATGAGCCATCGAACACTAAGAAAAAAAATCAGAAGATTAAGTAAACTAATCAGTACTATTCAACCAGTCTTGGTAGTTATAAAATGAGTTACCTTTTCAAAGATAGCACAGCAGGTTCTTGTTTTAACAAGAAAACCAATCTGTTAGGTGTAGTTATGAGGATGTCTGTAAAAATTGAATCATACAAATTAACATAGATGGATACAATTTTAAACATCCCTAGTGAAAAATTTAATTAAAAATTTTCTTACCAAACTTGTTAGTTTTTTCCAAAGTAAGTTTAGCATTGGATAAATTCACTTTGCTAATAATATGTATATTTAATCCTGAATTTTCTGCAAGACGCGAGCATTCTCTGATCGAAAAGAAGTAAGGGGTAAATTGTAAATATAGGTCAAACATTGTGTAAGTAGTGGTAACTTTTTGATTTCTATCTGTTTCTTTATACCTGTAAGTTTGCCTTGCTAACTCTCTTGTTGGACTCACAATGACAGCACGGATGCCATCATGGCGCAGTCCTCTCAAGTGATGTAATAAAGGTAACAAGAACGCTGCCGTTTTACCAGATCCAGTGGGTGCACAAGCCAAAACCTGACGGTTCTGTAATGACAATTTTCAAAGGCACTCTTTTACATAATGTAATTGACACACGCCTGCCCAACAACAAAGTATATGGAAAGCCAATACAGACCTTTAACATGATAGGCCACGCTTGAGATTGAATTGGCGTAGGTTCTGTATAACCTGACTTCTTCAAGTTATTAATTAAATTAGCTGATACTCCAAAACGGGCCTGAAGTTCATCAAATGACTCAACAGGTGCTGGAACGCCATCACCACTAACTGATAGTCGGAGTTTTTTCCTTAATATGTTAACTTTCTCTTCTTCTTGAGCTTTTAATTTTTCTTCAGGCGTAAGCTTTTTCTTCTTCTGTTTCACTGGCTTAGAGTTTGTGGTTTTGATGGCCTTATCCGAGGACATATTACCTAATAGAGTGATAGGTCCATCAATCGAATTGTCTGCATCCGAGTCAGAGTCATCTTGAGTCTGAGAACCATTTCTTTTTCCATTACGATCTGAGGATTTATTAAGTTTGTCACTGTTATCACTGTCATCGTCATTTTCAGTCTCTGAATCAGAATTCATCTGAGAGTCGTCATCTGAGTTTGAACCATCACCAGGGTTCATCCATTCTTCGGCAGCATTGAAATCCTCCTCATCTTTCACTGCCACAGATTCAACTTGCTTCTGAAACAGAAAAAAAAATTATCAATGACACAAATTGACACATTTTTGACAGAATAAACCCTTCCAAAATGATATTCACAATGGACGACTGGCACGTAACTTCAGCACTGTTGAGTGCTAGAGAAAAATTCAATATACGGCTCAGAGATTGTTAAGAACAAAAAGTTATATCATAATCAGCAGAGAATATTGTGCAGTAATAAATATAACCTACACGAACACGTTATGTTCGGCGCACTGCACCTTACTAACCTCTGTGCGAACTACGGGCTTGCTACGTTTGTTTTTGCTAAAACGTACGCCGCTGGTCAGTTTCCTGAACAAATCATGGGCGTCCATGTTTAAAGCGACTGAAAATGACAATGGTTAAGTACTTTTGGAACCCAGTAACATAAAAAGAAACATAACCAAATCTACACCAAAACAGATTTTGGAGAAGAAATGAGCAGAAAGAAAATGCAGGGCAAAGAGATTCAGGTTGTCCAACGACTTCATTTGCAAGGAATGTTGTCGAATCAAAAATGCAAAGAGAAGGACTGAGATCGTTGAAACGAATAATAATTCAAATGTAGTAGTAATTTGAAAATAGCCGTATTCTGCCAGTTTCAGAGCTGACTTGACTTCTGGCAGTTGGGGGAATAACCAGAAGTGTAAAACGGTGGCGACCCTGCCGGAAGTAAGAGGACTATCAGACTGGCCCAAATTTAAAAGTAACGCAAGTCGGTTTGGAATTAAATCAATCAACAATGAAACTCATTAACGGGCCAGACGATGAGTTTTTCCAAAGCCGATATTGAAATCTGAACAGGACGGGAAACTATAGGCCTAATGCGTAAAAGCTAGGGTCGAAGAAGATTAGTGAAGGTCCTCCAGCGATTCTACTGCTGCGCGCTGTGGGGGGGGGGGGGGCGACGATCGATAACTCACGGGCTGTTGTACATGGTGTACATGGAAGCACCGGGCACCGGGTGACAGAAATGACAGCATTCCTTTCGCACCAACGTAGAACAGTACCTTCGGCAACAGCTGGTCTAAGGGTCTTCACCGCTCCCACCACTCCGCCGCGCGCCACCCATAACCGCGGCCGTTGTTTCTCAGCTGTTTGTTTTCCAGCGCACGTTCAGGCCCTCTCCAGCCGGCCGTGGTCACCACCCCCAACCACGGCTCCACCCCCAAACAACAGCCCCCGTGTCCCCAGTGTGGACGTGGCAGCCCTTGTTGACGGTCTCGTCGCGTCGCCTGCTCCATTGCACACCCAACTCCGCGTGTGCCTCTGTCAGGCTCGATCGGTCCTCGTAAGGTTGTGCGGAGGTCCGCGAGTCGCGGGGTGATTCGGAGATAGTCAACCATGGCCGGGGAGAAGGCATCGAAACGCCGGAGTAGCGCCGTGCACCGGGACATGGCCTACGACGAGAAGCTCCGCGTCCTCGACGAGGAGCTCGTGTCCTTCCACCAGTACTGCCAGCAGGCGGGCTTCACGCCCGAGGAGATGGCGGTGATCTGCGCGCCGCTCGTGGACTCGGTGCGCGCGGCCAAGCTCCGCTCCGCCGCCAAGACGGGCGCGTGCATGCTCGTGGCGGTGGGCCTCATCGCGCTGCTCGCCAGCAGCACGACCGCCAGCCCCAGCCTGCACTTCACTGCGCTGGGGAGACTGGTGATGATTAAGGTGGGTGTCTATGGGTCTTCCCTGCCATCTTCACGGGTGTGCTGAGTCTTATGCCGTCTCCTTGCTGTGCAGGTCCTGCCCTTCTGGGACTGGACGTCCATATTCTACGAGTCGTGCTTGGTTGCAAACCCATTCTTCGGTGCACCGTCCTTTGCAGAAGAAGATTGCGTGGTGAGTAGCGTCGATCATTTTTCATGGATTTTCGACGAAAAAAAGCGTCGATTACTCATCTCCATCAACATCTTTCTGACCGCCATTTTTTTCGCGAAGGCCTGTGAATCTCTAAAGCACGTAGACCGCCTCAGCGACGTGTCCTACGAACATCTCCTGGACAACTACCTGAGCAGGGACGCACCTGCCATCGTGGTGGACGCCATGGAGGCCTGGCCCGTCATGACCACGGACCACTTCTACTTCGACAACGTCACGCAAGTGCGTTCCTGCTGAACGGGGAACAAAGCCCCTTTCCCAGAACGTTATATATAACGTTTTAACACTAATTGATGTGCACGATTTCAACTCACAGATCTACCTGGAGGACGACAAACTGATAGACACCGTCCCCTGCATCCTAACCAGCAACTTGCGCACCGGTTCATCTGACTTGCACGCCTTTCTCAAACGCATTCGGAATCCTTCGGTCGAAAAGTGGTTCGTTCACTGGTGAGTGATTAACTAGGCTCGATAGAAAAATATTCAGGTTGCAGCGGGTAATGTAGCACACAAAAACTTCGTTTCAGGCAAAACTGTGACATCCATGCCGTGAAAGCCCTCCGCAGAATGTACCAGCGACCATACTTTCTGTCCAACTCCGTGTCACCGGCCCACTTCAACTGGGTGCTCATGTCTTCCAACTACAACACCAGCGTGTACAAGAAGGTGAGCTCGCTTACGCTAACGCCTGCGGACGGTGGGGTAGGCAGCCCCGCAGCGCAGCCCTGCCTCGCGGGCTGGCCTACCTCACGCCTGCTTCCGTGCAAAGACAGAGACAGAGACAGCTTGCATCCCGACACACATTTCATTTCCCAACTTTTTTTCCAAGGTTGATCCGGACTCGGGATTAATTATGCTGGCACAGATAAGGGGATCCACCTCGTTCCGTTTGACTCCGCACAAAGCCTGCAACACATCTTGTTCCGAGCTGACTGGCAGCCTACATGAAGGAGAAATGCGTAAGCTGTCTTGATGGCTTCAATTTTGTCTTGCAAAAAAAGCAGACGATTTTGAGCAATATCAAATGTTGCTTTTAATATTTGCAGTGGTCTTCACCAACTTCATCTGGTCATTTGAGTACTATCCTGGAAGAAGCCTGGATAATGTGGCAATTCTCACTGAAACAGTGTGGGATGAAAAGATCGTCTGAATGATATCTAAATAACAAAACTAAAAAAGGGCCATTTTAATGCACCTCAAATAATGAATCGTCATTGTATAGTAGGTATAACTGGCAAAAGCTGAATTATATAGTAGATTGGCAATCAAAAACAGTTTAATTTTTATGTTTTCAAATTTATTTCTGATCTTAAAAGTAACAACTTACAACACATGCTATAAAAATATCAACAAGAAATTGTTTTCAACACCAATATTTAACAGTCTCAATACATAAAGTGAGCCGCTGGACAAGATAGTCATAAAAAGCTTGTCAAGAGAAATAGTATTTTTAAATGAAACAAAAAAGTCGATTGAACAGATAGATAAGATTTAAAATCTAATCCAATGAGAAAAATTGGAGAAGAGTGAGGATGGCAAATGGTTCTTACTTGCTACCCTTATAGAATAGAAAAAATAAGAACATGACATGACACAACATAAACTTCAAAAACAAAAGACTTTGTACAGTTAATCACAAATATTTCAGCAAAGATGTCTTAGAGATTAGATTTTGGGGAAATCAGACACATGATAATTCTTACCCATACTTCTTAACATCTTACTTTTGAACAAAATTTTACCCCACTGTCTTATAACAGGAATGACAAAATTACAATTTTGATTGTAATCAAAATTTAAACCATCCCAGCCAAGCTCAACATACAAAAATGAAACTGATTCCGTTTTCTTTTGTTTGCTACTTCAAATCAAGCAAGTAATGCTGCACAACAAAATCATCACACAAATGAGGCTTCTTAACACATGATGTGAGGGAAATACTTATAAATCTTACAGATGAACTGTTTAAGTGTGCACTCCATTAACACGTTGAGTCCCAGGGGGGTCCCCTTTTACATGCTATTGTGGCCATACGTGTGGTGTGTGGTCATGTGGGACTCAACGTGTTAAGAAACCAATAATACAGGAAATGAGATTGAGGGAGAAATCATTTCATGAGAGCATGTACCACAGCCTTGGCATTGAGAGACTTGAGGTCAGTATATGTTTGACCAGTACCAACAAATACAATAGGCTGACCAGTTATGTAAGTCATAGATATCGCAGCACCCACCTGAAATGAAAAACAGTGTTCAGAAAAAAATACACCCATTTAAAAGCTGCTTGTCAATATCTTTGACAGCAAAAATAATTTAAAACATCATACCTTATCATCAATGGTATCAAACTTAGTAAGTACAATGCCATCAATGAGATGAGGATTGACAGAGGATGAATTATCCGCCATAGCCTGGTTGAATTTCACAAGCTGATCAACAGCTTCATTGCCAACCAGGGCCTCACCAACAAATAGAACTAGATCAGGTTCATTCACTTTTACAAGCTGGAAGTTAGAACAGAGAAAAATATTAAAACAGAAAAATTATCAAGTATACGGGGCACTCTACTTCTAGTACATACCTTAGCAAGAGCAATCATCAAAGGACCATTATCCTGCATTCGCCCTGCAGTATCTATTAACACAACATCAATTTTGGTGTCTCGAGCATGGTTGATAGCTTCAAGTGCAATACCAGCAGCATCCTTGCCTACAAAAATTGAATATTAACATTAAAAATAGTGGCAAGAAGGGCATAAGTAGGTATGTCTCTTTACCAACAAAACATTTTGTGGAACTAAAAATAAATTACCATAGCCCTTTTCATACAGATTAACCATCTGTCGTCCGCCATGTTGATCTGGGGGATGAAGAGCATTCAAGTGACGAGTGTGGGTTCGCAACTGTTCTACAGCACCAGCTCGGAAGGTATCACATGCAGCTATCAAAACTTGTAGATTGTTTTCAATCAGCCAGAAACAAATCTAAAAAGAAAAAGATCATTAAATAAGATTGCTGAAATTAATGCAGATTCATAAAAAGTCCTATATAGTATGATCAACACTACCTTTGCTAGATTTGTGGATTTTCCCACACCATTCACACCACAAAAAGCCATAACATACGGTCGGCCTTGTTTACGGGCTTCCACTGCATCTCTTAAAATGTCAATGCGACGTCGAGGAGATAGAATTTGGACCAGAGACTCAGTCAAAGTGTTTTTCACAGTGGATGCAACAGTTTCAAAAGTACCAATAACCTGAAATACAAGACAATACTCATTTTCATCCTATAAAATCAGAGGTAAAAGTAGTTGTTGAAAGAAAAATTATAATGTGACTACCTTTCCCTCAAGTTTGGCAGCAACCGAGTCACACAATTTAATTGCAATGTCTGCTGCAACATTTTTGGAAATAAGATGATCGCGCAGTTTTTCAAGGCAAGGTTGCATTGCATCCCTGCTAAGGTTTTTGCTGCCAACAAGTCCCCTGTAAAAATTAATAAAGGTTTAAAAACTTTCAAATACAAATAAACTGTTTCCTTGAAAATTTAACAAAAATCTGCTATAAGAATTACCTGAACATAGAGAAAACACTATTACTTTTTGCAGCAGGTTTGTTGTTTTGAGTAGATTGAACTTCTTCTTCTTCTTCATCATCATCATCATAGTCATCAGAGTCACTCTCCACTTCAAGGTCCCTTATTCCACCAACCATTCGACCAACCAACTGGAAAAGATGATTTAAGAATATACAGTTATTGCAGTTGCAGTAAAACAATTCTGTGGAAAATTTGTTTGGCTTCAGCTCCTACATTTGATTCTGGAGTGAAATCAGATGTTGCATCCTCAGGTTTATCTTTGGAGCGATCGAGGTTGGTTGCATCCTTGGGACTTCCACTCAACTCCCAAACGCGTGGCTTCTTACCCTCCTTGCTTGGCTTTGGGCTTTTTCTGTAACAAATATTATCTTCATGAGGGAACTTCTACAGAGATTGAATTAAAATATTATTTGTTTGAGAGAATGTGTTAGCTGGCAGGTAGAAAATAAGCCTTACTTGTCTTTCTTCTTAGGGCCGGTACTCATTTTTTGAGCAAGACGAAGACGGTTTTGAATGAGGATATCATCAGACATGTCATTGCCATTGGCAATGGGAGATGGAGGTGTTATCAATTTAGTATCATCCTTTGTCGGTTCAGTTATTTTCACTGCAACAAACAATAAATGAACATTCTCATAGAGTGTAAAGTATAGATAATCCAAATTTTACATGCATCACTTTCTCTTACCTTTCTTTTGCTTGTTTTCCTTCTCGTCTCCTTTCCTCTCAATCATAGATGATACAGTTTTTTTGGATTTAATAGATTCTTCAAAGGTACGCATTTGCTTAGGCATTTTAGCCTGAGATCTTCCCCAGTCTTCGGCCATTTGCAACACTTTTTGGAATGATTTAGTAAATTCAAAATCCTGAAATTGGACAAAGAGTTATTGAGGCTGAAAATGTCTTGATATAATCGGGCAATCAATCTAAAAAATACCTGAAAGTATCTTCCATGTCGCAAATCCTCCTTGTATTTGTCACGGAACTCAAGATGAATGTCACTCAAAAATTTATCAACATATGATAGTTGCAATATTTTTTGAAATGCAACCACGAAAACTAGTTCAAACTCATTATCGAGCTTGTACTTCAATGTGAGCGAGTCATGATCAAAACTTTGATTACCTGTGCGCTCCTGTCAAATTGTGCCATATGACAATAGATAACAAAAGTGTTAGTATATAATTAAAACAAAAAGACAGGGGAATTATCAATAACAAAACTTTCTAGGAACTCCAACCCAGAGAGATGTAATGGAATGGCACATTAAATGATTAACATAACATGCTGCTCAGTCATCAATTTGGGTTAGGTTTTGCCTTATGCTTACCTGCAGTATAACAGTACGAATCAAAGCATTAACGGATGGCGTAAAAATTTGTTTGGTGCTTTGGAAGCACCATAAAACAATGCCACCTTTGCTAAAAATAGTAAAAAGGTCCAACATTTTGGAAACAACTAGTCGGTTCCCAAAACTTGCTGTCTTAACAGATGTTTACAACCGATTCACGCAGAAGAAAACACAAGACACACGTCACATACGTCACAGACTACTGTGATCGATAGAACAAACGATTGTCTCGAAAGAGCCTGTTCGATTTCCGGAGGTAGAGAGGAAGTGAGGAAGTGGGACGAATGGAGGGGGTTTTCAAATGAAATTCAAATACTGTCGCATACGCATCGCAAGGGCAATCTAGGCTTTAAAGCGGGACGAAGTCCGCGAAGAGACGCGAGATTAAGTGAAATGTGATATACAAAAATGGAACAGGTAAGAATTGAAAAAAAGAAAAACAATTC